AACGAGGCGCCTCTCCCAAGTCGGTCAACAGGTAGGTGAGCCAGCGTAACTCATGTGCAGCCATGGCCCCAGCGTAGATCTCAGCCTCACAACTGGAGCTGAGAAGAGAGGATGAGTGGGTAGACCGCCACGAAACATAGCCGAAACCAAGGCTGAAGGTGTAACCCTATGACGAGCGCTGCGTAGCCAAGTCGTCAACCCAAGAAGCGTCTGCGTGACCAGTGAGGACAACTCGAGCCCGTCCTCCAAGCACGAGCCCCATGCCCGACGTACTGCACAGGTAGCGCAACATCCTCTTAGCTGCAGCCATGTGCTCTGGTCGGTATCTCCCAGGAGCAACATAGCGCGCCAAGATGCTAAGAGGGTATGCCAAGTCAGGTTGAGTGCAGGTCATCAGGTACATGAGGCAGCCAACAAGCTCTGGGTACGGGCCACTCGGCTCTACGGACTCATCCGAAGGCAGAGCTGAGAGCGAGTGACGAGTAGACAGAGGAGTGGCTTAAGGCGAGGAGTACGTGAAGTCAAAGCGCTGAAGGACCTGCTGCACCATGTGTGACTGAGTAAAGGTAATGGTGCGTCGTGCTCTGTCCCGGATGATCTGCAAGCCAAGATAACTGCGCAGCTCACCCAGGTCTTTGCATGTGTGTCTCTTCTGCAGCTTCGACTTCACGTGGACGAGTCCCTCAATGTCAGCAGTGGCAAAGACCAAGTCATCGACGTACACGAGGATGTAGAACATCGGCAGCGAAGTGTCGGTGCGCAGAAACATCGACGGGTCAGCAGTAGAAGGAGCAAACCCAAGAGCCGCAAGCGTAGTCCTCAGTGTGTCGTGCCACTCACGGGGTGCCTCGCGGAGACCGTAGACTGGCCGCCGGAGGCTCCACTGGGTACCAGGAGGAAACGACCCAGTGAAGCCAGGTGGGCGGCGCAGCCAGATCTCCTTGTGCAGGCTGACCTGTAGGAAAGCAGTGCTGATGTCAAGAGAGTGAAGCTCATAGTCACGCTGAGCAGCGACGTGCAGCAGAACCCGAAGAGTGGTCATGTTCGGGGTCAGGGAGAAGGTCTGGAAGAAGTCAACTCCCTGTCGCTGAGTGAAGCCCCGAGCAACGTAACGCGCCTTGAAGACAGGCGGAGAACCCGGCGGTCGCTTCACCCTGAAAATCCACATGCCACTGACGATGTTCGCCCCAGGAGGGGGAACCTCGTCGACGTAGGTGCCTGTGGACTTCCAGGATGCCATCTTTGCGTCCATGGCTGACTGCCACTGAGAGGAGTAGGGACCCCTCTATCGCCTCTGCGTAAGAGCGCGGGGTCGGGATGTCTGGTGCATCCGGGTCTCCCTCAGGTGCAATCAGCATGGACACGAGATGAGGTACAGCGGTTGCAAAGCACTCAAAGTCCTCCTGCGTGTCCTCAAGGACGTCCGTGCCAAGAGCACACTCACCTCCGACGGATGGAGGACAGACAGACTCACACTCAGCAACAAGAGTCGAGGCGTAGTCAAGACGACAGTGAGCAGCAAAGTCGACAAGCTCAGCAACTAAGGCAGACGCAACAGTGGACTCAAAGGAAGGGTCAGTGACAACAGTGGCCATGAGACGCGTGACAGTAGGACTAGCAGCACGAAGGGAGTTAGACTCCGGGTCAGCAAGGGCAGGAAGAGAGGACGTAGGAGGAGACGGCAGTGAGATACGCTGCGGAGCAGTGGACGGACGCAGAGCCATCTGGTGCGTGCCAAGTACAGGAGGAGGACGCTGACGCGAACCATGACGACTAGTGCAAGCAGCACGAACAGGCGACGCAGGACGAGACTCAGGCTCACGACGCTCCTTAAGACCTCCAGTCGGACCAGTTTAAGGAGAAGGAGCAGGCAGTGGGGAGGCGGGCTGTAACTGTGACTGCGACTGGACAGGTGGTGGACACTCTAAGGAAGGAGTAGGACCAGTAGAAGGCGGGAGACCAAGATCCTGCTGAAGGAGCGGAACGAAGTACGGCCTCGGTCGCGTAGCGCCTCCAGAACCAGCAGGGACAGCACCAGCACCCCCAGCGTCAGCTCCAACTCCAGGAGCACCACCAGCTCCACCAGCACCTCCAGCAGCTCCAGTAGCGCCAACTCCAACAACCCCAGAAGCACCGGCTCCAGCAGCACCTCCAGCGCCAGCACCTCCAGCAGCTCCAGCTCCAGCAGGACCACCAGAAGGACCAGCAGCTTCAGTAGCGCCAGCACCAGTGCCTCTAGCAGCGCCTGCTACAGCAGCACCGTCAGCTCCAGCCCCTCCAGCAGCTCCAGCCCCAGCAGCACCACCAGGCCCCGCAGCTCTAGTACCTCCAGTATGAGCACCTCCGGGACTAGTGGCACCAGAACCCCCAGCAGCTCCAGCAGCAGCAGGACCTCCAGCGCCAGGTGCACCACCAGCTCCAGCCACACGGCTCCAGCGGTGAGCAAACCACTCGCGCAGCTGCTGTGGAGAGAGTGGCTCTTGTTGGGACGAAGCACCCGAAGGACCCCCAGGCGCAGCACCTCCAGACTCCACACGCGCAGGCTCAGCACCCTCAGGCTCCGCACCCCCAGACTCAGCCACCCCAGGCTCAGCACCCCCAGATTCAGCACCCCCAGGCTCAGCACCCCCAGAATCAGCACCCCGAGGCTCTGCACGCTCAGGCGCAGCACCCCCAGACCCGGCACCCGCAGGCTCAGCACCCCTAGCAGCACCAGAGTTAACAGCTACCTCGACAGGCTCAACTGCGTCTACCTGGGACACACCTGAGAGGGCCGGACCCTGAGGGGGGAGGGGGTCTACCGGGGGAGGACTTGGCGCGAGGAAGAGCGGCGGTGGGGGGGGAGGGGGGCAGTGCGGTAGGCGAAGAGACTGTAGTAAGGAACCGACTCGTCAAACGTGACGTCCGGAGAGGACAGAAAACGGCGCGAGGTGGAGTGGTAAAACTGCCAACCAGGCGCGTCAGGGGGGAAGCCAAGGAAGACGCAAGGAACAGCACGGGAGGACAGCTTGTCCGCACACAAGTCGCGGACAAAAGCTCGAGATCCCAAGACACGGAACGCTGATTCATCGCCAACCTTCCCCGTCCACCGCAGAGTAGGTGTGGTCTCCAGCACGGAGACCCGGGGCTGGAGGTTGATTTAATGCGCCGCGTACTGAACCGCGAACGGCCACAGAAAATGGAGAGCAGCCGCATGGATCATGGACGTATGAGCGACATCCATGACCATGCCAATGCGGCGCTCAGCAATCCCATTTTGCTGTGGAGAGGCCGGAAGCGTGAACGTCTGGCGGATGCCCTCCACACGACAGAAGGCTCGCAGAAGGTCGGAGGAGAACTCTCCACCTCTGTCGGAGTGCAGACGCAGAACAGGAAGGTCCGAGCCGAAACTCTCGCTGTCAGCGCGGATCCAGTCGATCAGCACCTCAGTCACCTCACTCTTGCGGCGCAAGGGGAAGACTGTGGTGTAACGCGAGTAGTCGTCAACGACTAGTAGAAAGTAGCGCTCGTGACCTTGTCCACGGATGCGGGCTGGGCCCCACACGTCCATATGAAGAGTCTGCAAGGGAGCCTCTGTCGGAGGGAACTCGGAGGAGTGAGGAGCGGTGCGCTGCCGCCCCTCGACGCAAGGAACGCAGGTAGGGGCAGGCCCCGGGGGGAGGGGAGGGAGAGACCAGGGAAGACCAGTGACAAGGACACGGGAGGCCATGCCTCGGAGACGAGGCAGGGTGGGGTGACCAAGGCGGTGGTGCCAGAGGAGAGTCTGGTGAGACAGGAGGCGACATGAGCAGGGGGCAGACTCAGGACCAGACCGGGACGCTGCAGCAAACACCTGACCCGACGCAGCTACCTGACCAGACTCAGCAACCTGAGGAGAAACGGTAGTCAGGGTGTACAGGCTCGACCCAGGCTGACGGGTGAACGTGGCCAGGTGTCTGCTGGTCCGAGTACACAAACAGTGGGTCACCCGCTGACCTCCAGGAGTGAACTGGTCAACCCACGCGTCCTGAAGGTCAGCTCCACTCACCAAGTTCGTGGAGAACGAGGGGAGGTGGAGGCCAGACAGAGAGCCAGACGGGACCGCCGGACACGGCAGGACCGTGGAGGAGTGTGCAAGGACCGGACCCCCAGAGGGGTCAGCTAGAGAGACTGCCACTGGCCGATTGAGCGGCGAGAGTGTGGTGCAGTCGCGAAAGAAGGAGCGGGAAGCACCCGAGTCAAGTGTGAAAGTGTGCAAGGCCTGAGCCGACGCGGCACCTGAGAGAGCAGACTCACCAGTACCTGGGGCAGCAGACTCACCAGCTCCTGGAGCAGCAGACGCACTAGCACCTAGAGCAGCAGCCCCAATGCCCGGGTCGGGCGGAACACACAGGTAACAGTCACCCTCAGCATTAATAGACACAGCATACATAGCAGCAAGGATAGCATCAAAATCAAGATCAAAGATAGCAACCCCCGACTTAAAGCCGGCAGCCCAAATTGCACAAGTTTTAAAAACTTGGCCATGGGGTTCAACGGATGGCGAGGGGTGTGAAAGCGAAAGTTGGGAGTCGAAAGAAGGCACACCCAGGGAGCGCATTCGCGAATTGTTTAGCGAACTGCGCAGTCAAACAACAGGAAACCAGCCAATAGAAATTGTCGCACGGCGAGCCACACATCGCGACCCAAAAACACACAACACAACACTTCCGCAGCTCTTGCACTGTCACACACACAACACCACGACCTGCATTTTCAACAACAAACCATGAGGCCCGCTAGTTCTTACTGCATATAGCAGCCAACTAAAGTAGGCGGCACGAGCAAGCACACTTGCGCAGTGTACAATAAAACTGTCAAATTCTTAGCATTACGACAGCAACAAAGGTTGTGCTTGAGAGATAGAACGTCAGACGACCCTCATCAACAAACAGAAACACCTTATTCGGGACGGCGAGATAGGGAATATGGCCCATCGACCTTCCAAGGGTGCTTCCCGAAGGTATGAAAAAGCCGTAGACATGGCACAAACGTTGGCGCATTCTGAAGGCAGCGGAATTCGGCGGAATATCAAACACTGTAATAAATATCTTTAATTCACCATCTTCAATTCACCCTCCCGTCGACATCGCTTTCTCCTCTCGTCGCCTACACTTGAACCCTCCCGTCGCCTTCACTTCCACCTCCCGTCGCCTCCACTTCCCCCTCCAGTCGCCTCCACTTCCCCCTCCCGTCGCCTCCACTTCCCCCTCCCGTCGCCTCCACTTCCCCCTCCCGTCGCCGCCACTTCCCCCTCCCATCGCCTTCCCTTTTCCTTCCTGTCGCCTGAACTTCCCCCTCCCGTCGCCTCCACTTCCCCCTCCCGTCGCCGCCAGTTCCCCCTCCCATCGCCTTCCCTTTTCCTTCCAGTCGCCTCCACTTCCCCCTCCCGTCGCCTCCACTTCCCCCTCCCGTCGCCTCCACTTCCCCCTCCCGTCGCCTCCACTTCCCCCTCCCGTCGCCTCATCTTCCCCCTCTCGTCGCCTCCACTTTCCCCTCCCGTCACCTCATCTTCCCCCTCTCGTCGCCTCCACTTCCCCCTCCCGTCGCCTCCACTTCCCCCTCCCGTCGCCTCCACTTCCCCTTCCCATCGCCTCATCTTCCCCCTCCCGTCGCCTCCACTTCCCCCTCCCGTCGCCTCATCTTCCCCCTCCCGTCGCCTCCACTTCCCCCTCCCGTACTTCCCCCTCCCGTCACCTCCACTTCCCCCTCCCGTCGCCTCCACTTCCCCCTCCCATCGCCTCATCTTCCCCCTCCCATCGCCTCCACTTCCCCCTCCCGTCGCCTCATCTTCCCCCTCCCGTCGCCTCCACTTCCCCCTCCCGTCGCCTCATCTTCCCCCTCCCGTCACCTCAACTTCCCCCTCCCGTCGCCTCCACTTCCCCCTCCCATCGCCTCATCTTCCCCCTCCCGTCGCCTCCAATTCCCCCTCCCGTCGCCTCTACTTCCCCCGCAACGACAAATGCCAAGTACTAGAACACATACCTGCTAGCGTTCAAGTAATCTCCGTTACCATCAACACCACCCACTCATCAGCACTATCAACACCACCCACTCATCAGAGCCATCAACACCACCCACTCATCAGCATCATCAACACCACCCACTCATCAGCACCATCAACACCACCCACTCATCAGCACCATCAACACCACCCACTCACCAGCACCATTAACACCACCCACTCATCAGCACCATCAACACCACCCACTCATCAGCACCATCAACACCACCCACTCATCAGCACCATCAACACCACCCACTCATCAGCACCATCAACACCACCCACTCATCAGCATGAAATACAAGTTGTTCGTCATTGTCTTTTGGTGTTGGGGTCTCCCATGTAACGCATATCCAGCCAGTGATTCCAAACCGCGCAAACCTACACACCATTTCCAAACCCAACCTTCAAGCGTGGAAGGAAAACGGATGCATCTGCAAGTGGAGGGTCCACTGTAGCGAATCTTAGCGACGAGCATGACAAGGCGGTTCACGGTATATCCAAGCATATGAGGCCAGTCATATGCCTTCAACGATGCGGGTTGTCGGCATTGATGGGGGGGAAGACCGAAGCGACAACTGCTGATGTTCTTTACTACTTCATGATGAACGCCCCTACAGCGTACAAACGGCTGATGCGGGCTGCCAAAGAAGCAGGTAAGGGTGGAAAGTTGGTGACCAAGTCCTAGCATGGTCGTGTGTCCGTGATAGTTGAGCACTCTGATTGTTTTGCGCATCACAACGGCACTGGCAGCCAACCAATAATGGTTTGGATATACTCACTGTCACCGTTGTTCCGTGGCAGGAACACATGGGGGAGATGCATTGGCGACGGCAGAGCTTCACCTTGAGGCATACGGGCGCCAGTTCGATGCACGGGCAAACAGTGGTATTAACGCCGTAACTGGGATAATGGAGAAGGCTGATCGCCCAATCGAGGGACTGGTTTACAACTTCCCGCCCTACAAAGAGGATAAGAAGGGGAAAATACGCCCTGTTCATAGAAACGGTTGGGGTGGGGCCCAAAGGGGTAAAGCCTTCGAGAGAGTGTGGAGACAAGGTGAGCAACAGCGTGGCGTTGGCACAAGAGTATGCTATTTTGGTCATACAACCACGCTGCATGCTTCAGACGGAGGGTTTGTGAAGGCTGTACTGTTTATGAAGCGAAACTGAACTGGAGTCCGCATATACTCGTAGAATGCAAGTGCGTGTATACCCTAATGATTCTAATACATGGCGTGTGCGCAGAGGTTGCCCAATCAACAGGAGCTGAAACAGAGGGGGCTGCTCCAAGCCTGCAGCCTCATCCATGCACGATTGTTAGCACTGAAAGCAGCCAACAGCACGCGGTACTCCATGCAGCCGGCGTACCAGATCAAGCCCAAAGGTGAGACAGTGGGTAGAGAGCGTTGGTTGAATGAGGTGTAAAACTAGGGGTGGTATTGAATGAATAGGTGGGAAGTGAAGACATTCGAGCATGCACGCGCACTCACACACCCACACATGCCCGCACGCATGCATGAGCTCATAAGAATACAGACACATGCACGCACCTGTGGCACAATGCAGCCCCATGCGCACGCACCTTTGGGACCATGTAGCCCCATGCACACGCACCTTTGGCACCATGCAGTCACAAGCGCACGCACCTTTGGCGCGCCATGCAGTCACAAGCGCACGCACCTTTGGCGCACCATGCAGTCACAAGCGCACGCACCTTTGGCGCACCATGCAGTCACACGCACCTTTGGCACCATGCACCCACTACCGCCCTGGTGAGTATGTCACACGCCTAGCATGTCACTTTACACGCCCAGCATGTCACTTCACACGCCCAGCATGTCACTTCACACGCCCAGCATGTCACTTCACACGCCCAGCATGTCACTTCACACGCCCAGCATGTCACTTCACACGCCTAGCATGTCACTTCACACGCCCAGCATGTCACTTCACACGCCCAGCATGTCACTTCACACGCCCAGCATGTCCCTGCACAGTGTCACAGCAATCTATTCTGGCCCATTGTAGCAACTCCACCCGCCTACTCTTCCCCTCCCTTCCGCCTTTCCACCTCCTCCCCATATGCCCCGCCTTGTGCCCTCCCATTGCGCCCTGCCTTGTGCCCTCCCATTGCGCCCTGCCTTGTGCCCTCCCATTGCGCCCTGCCTTGTATTCTCCCATTGCGACCTGGATTGTGCCCTCCCATTGCGCCCTGCTTTGTGCCCTCCCATTGCGACCTGGATTGTGCCCTCCCATTGCGCCCTGCTTTGTGCCCTCCCATTGCGACCTGCTTTGTGCCCTCCCATTGCGACCTGGATTGTGCCCTCCCATTGCACCCTGCTTTGTGCCCTCCCATTGCGACCTGGATTGTGCCCTCCCATTGCGCCCTGCTTTGTGCCCTCCCATTGCGCCCTGCCTTGTGCCCTCCCATTGCGCCCTGCCTTGTGCCCTCCCATTGCGCCCTGCCTTGTATTCTCCCATTGCGACCTGGATTGTGCCCTCCCAATGCGCCCTGCTTTGTGCCCTCCCATTGCGACCTGGATTGTGCCCTCCCATTGCGCCCTGCCTATGGGCCCTCCAGGAATACTCATCATGATGGGCCCCTCAAGGATACTCCAGTTCCAGTCCCGAGAGGGTGGCCACGTGCTCCAGCCGTCACAGACATGTCACCGTACATGGTATGTTTCTTGGAGCCAAGACATATGCTAGAAGCATTAGCACCACTGCGGATTAGTTGCACAAGAAAAGGCTGCGGCGGGAGCATGTCCCTCGTGTCATGGAAAACTACATGGGCTTCTCTTGGTCAGTATTGGCACTGTAGTACGTGCCCTAGCCACACGGACATATAGACAAGCCCGAAAAAAGAAAACGATCAGAATGGGAAGCGGACAGGGCCAAAGTCTATACAACTTATGCAAAAGTTTGTGGGTGCGTTTGCCCTCGGAGGGTTAGGGTTTCAAGTGATGTGGGAAGTGTGTCGCAATCTTGGACTGCCAAATCCTGGAAAAGGCACATTTTACCGACTGTTGCAAGGTGAAAAGGGTTTGTGGAATGCCATCATTCGTGTAGCCCAAGAATCTATGGCATCAGTGCGTGATACCCTCAGTAAGAGGGATGGAGGGGTGGGATACATTAGTGCGGATGGCAGATTTTCACAAGCTCGAGAGGCTGAGTATTGCACTGTGTCATTTCTGCATCCCGAGAGTAGGAAAGTTTTGCACACAGAGACTGCGATGAAGTATGTCAATGATCCATCGTCTCCTAGGCTAGAAAGCATTGCCTTCAAGTTGGGCATGGACTTCTTCAAGAACATGGGGTTTGAAGTGGCTGGTATTGTTACGGATGAGGGTAGTACCTTTCGGACCGTGGCTGCGGACAGAGGGATTGGACACCAGCACGATTGGTGGCACAAAAGGCGATCTGTGGTCAAGAGCTTTGAAAACGACTTGCAAAATCGTGTGAGGGAAGTGGTCGAAATTGATAAGGCGAAGGTTGTAGAGGACCTGCATATGCATACAGTCGTGAAGCTAAGAGGGTGGTTGCAGAAGAAGGCCCCAGCCAAGGTGGGTGGGTCCAATGGAAAAGACAAACTGATCGAGGACATTTGCTCTGAGCTCGGCATTGAGTACCGGTTTGTGGATCCGGCAGATGCAAAATGGGAACATCCTGAATTGCAGCAGGTCGTGAGCGCCACAAACGTGCAAGCTGCTGGTCAAGGTGTGGGGGACTTAGAGGAGCGGGATGATGAGGAGGCAGCAGACAAAGTGGATGTACCCGTTATGCTTTTGCTAATACATAGTCGAGGCATGGGCCGTCATCAGGATGGGCCGGAAGAGGGTGGGGATGCAGTGGAAATGCTAGAAGGACCGGTGAGGGTGGATGTCTCTTGGCCGGATGTGGAAGAATTATGGCAATATGACATCCACTTACCACCTCTTGAGCCCCTCACATAGCTCATTACCACCATTTCTGCCCCACACATAGCTCATCTTCACCACTCCAGTCACACACACACCTCATTTCCAGCACTCCAGCCCCATTCAAAACTCATGATCACCACTCCACTCTCTCACACAGCTCGTCTTCACCACCACTCTGCTCCACACACCCCTCACTACCACCATCCCAGCCACACACACCTCATTTCCACCACACCAGCCCTGTTCATAGCTCATTATAACCACTCAGCCCCTCACACAGCTCATCTTCACCACAGCTGCCCCATACACATTTCATTACCATCACTACTGCCCCACACACATCCACTTACCACCTCTTGAGCCCCTCACATAGCTCATTACCACCATTACTGCCCCACACACACCTCATCTCCACCACTCCAGCCTCATTCATAGCTCATTATCACATTGATGCACATGGCAAGTGTGGTTTGCTTTACCACGGCACACAATCACCCGCTTATGCCCTGATGCTGATTCATTGGGGACTTGCAGGAGAGCAAGCTGCCATTTCCACCATCAAGAGCAAGGAGCAGCGACGGTGGTCAAAACGTACCTCAAAGAAGTGGGCACGTGGTGAAGGTGCCAATGCGACCCTTGCTGGAGAGAGCGATGGAAGCAAAAAGCCGGTGTTCATTCTTGGTCAACGCTTCAGCGTGCATTTCAAGCACTGCATGATGCGGAATGCCACCAAAGCCAGCGAGGGAGATCCAATGACGCCAGAGCAGGTGTCTGAGGAGTTGGGGCTTGCTGCAGATCATTGGGCAGGTGACCATGCACGCTGCGCACGTGTGGGAACAATGCCTCCACGCTGTATTTCTGAAGGGTGGGGGGAAGAGAGTGCTGTATACGCTTTTGGATCACCAACCAACTTGGCTTTTCGTGAGTGGTTCAGAACACGGCTAGGGCCAACTCAGGTAGCATCATTGACTCTTGGCGCAAACAGCTCACTGAACGAGTCCTTCCACTCACTTGTTTGCAAGTATGCTCCCAAGCGCCTGCGGTTCAGAGGCAGCATGGAGGCTCGCATAGCCTTGGCCGTGCTGCATTGGAACAGCTGCATGGACCGGCTCGTCAAGGCATACCGCATCCGGGTGCGGAAATTGACGCGTGTGCAGAGGGGCCGAAAGGAAAGGATATTAGGACCTATGGACTGGTCATGGGTGGACAACATTATGCGGGAATGGTTGGCACAAGGTGCAGCGGATGTTGGGGAGTCTGAGAGGAACAGAGAGGGAGAGGGTGTCGATGGTGTTGACTTGGAGGAACGAAGTGAGCACACCCGTGCGCAGCGCCAACGCACCTTGACCGGACCCTCCAGCACCGTTTCAGTTGAGCCTGAAGGCAGCATCCCGATCATGACCACTGACCTCGTATTTTCGCCT